GGTACTAAACAATTAAGGCGTTATACTAAAAGTGTAGTTCATAAGAAAAAATGCTTATTTTGCAATAAATTTAAAATTTTCTTTAGTAGAGGTAATGATTGTATTGAGCATTGTTGGAATATATGCGGGAGAGATATTCAAGTCCCATGTCTTGGTTTAAAATTGTGCTCTGTATTTCACAGAATTCCAACGATTGCTTCGAAGCTTACTATTGATGACAGAAATGTTAGATATATCTGTGCAAAATGTTTCGAAAAACATGGTAGACTTCTTCATAAATGTTTTGGGCCTGGAAAATCTCAAACATGTACTGATAACAAATTGCATATAGAAGACACTAACCATATTTTAAGACTTTTTTCATCTTGGTTATTTAATCTCTCATATTCTCAAAATGAGAGTAGAAAGGAAAAAGTATTGGGCATATCATAAAATTATTAGAAACCCCGGAATCATCTTCGTCATTCTTAATGGATATGGATTCTAATTTACCTAGTCCATTGCTTGTAAAAATCGCTATGAAGATTAATAAGTTTAATGATTACTCGTCTACAGATAAAAAACTTATAAAAGTAGAAGAATGCCGTCAATTTGGAGAAATGTTAGGAAATACGATATGTAATGAACATAAAGATATTGAAAAAAATCGAAATAAGTTAGAAAACCCATCCTCATTAGATGAATATTAAAATAGTTTCCCTTTGATCCTTACTAGTTTTTTGATGGATTAATCGAATCTATTGAAAAACGAAAATATGAAATAAGAAAAAGAAAAAATAGACAATGTGGAAAAAAAGACACTGAATTTAATACAGGTTCTATAAAAAAAATTACATCGTTTCTTGCATCTATTATTTTGACAACAGCATTTCGTTTATGGAAAATATGGCTTATCTATACCATGGCTTCTTTTTGTAAAAAGCCTAAATTAATATCTCTCTGCAAGCCATATTACATGCGGTAAATATACTAGAAAAGGAATGTATAAATAAGTCTAATCTTTTAACGAGATTAATTAAAAGTCCAAATATATGGAATGTTGCTGTGATTGATAATATCGACTTTAAGGATATTGTTTTTAAGTATAGAAATATATATGATGTAACACGTCAATCTGTGCATGCTACTCTAAGGATGGTGTTTCAATTCGAACTTTCATTCAACTTATCATCTCAAGCAAATTCACAATCTCAAGAAAATCCACAATCTCAAAATTTATTTGGTCAATCAGCATTTACGTCTGAATGAGATGAAAAATTTGATAAATTAATAAAACAATTAATAAATAAATATAACAAAAATTTTGGAATTGAAGAAATTAATACTGAAATCCTTACGATTGTTGAATCAGGATGCCGAGTAAACCCACCAAATATCGTTATACTAGAGCCTGGACAAGCACCTAATAGCAACAAAGCCGTATTTAAGTCAATTGATATGTTTTAGAAGATCTTGGGCAATACGTTGTTGATTTAGCATGTAATGCAGCTATTTTTGCAAGAACAAAAGCATATAAAAATAACAACTTAACTTGTAGATTTATCCTTGGACAATGGTATACTTCAAAGGCTATGTGCAGTGCTTTGATTTCAGCATTTAGTGGATATGATATTTATAGCATGGCGGCAAAGCTCGTCGTCTGATTTCTTGATAAGCTAGAGCAAAACATAGATTATCATGCAACTTATAGAGTATTAGAATTAATACATACCGCTGTAAAAATAGCAATTCACCTTCATTTAAATAATAACAATATGTCATTAGATACAGAGACTATATTTAGAGGAGATAACAATATTTTAAAGGTGTGGTTTTTATTTTACCAGTTTGCTGGGTATTGAAAAGCTTATCATATAGGTATTCGTTTAGGTAATGTGGATATGCAATTAAAAAGCTTGGCAGCATTTGCACCCTTATTTCTGTTACTGGAAAAAATGTTTATACATCATCGGTTGTAACCTTTTTAGAATCAGTGTCATGTCATCCAAAACAATATGAACTATTCAAACACGTTGCTTCAGTAAATATTATTAGAGAAAACCATTACCTAGCTTTTGATGAAGCCTTGAAACATATGGTGTTAAATTTGTTAAACAAAATTTGACTTCCGGTTTATCTGACCCAGCTATCCTAAAACAGAAAATAATGGCAATCCAAGAGGAACGTGAGAGAATACTATTATTATATGATGAATTTGTAGAAGATAATAAAATTAATACAGGCAATCGCAAAGTTAAACAATATACTGAAGCTTTATGGCAACTTGTTGATGAACTTACTTTCACATTTTATTTTCCTGATCCTGCTCAACGTGACCTTTTTAAACATGCCCGGGAAATGAATCAAGATGGTTACATACGGATGTTCAGTTGTTACAGGAATGGTTTTGTTCGATTATATAATATTTTGTACGAAGATATTTATAAAACTAAAGAAGTTACAAAGGGAAGACGGATTAAGGATTTAGTTAGTGTTTCAGCTAAAGAATATTTATTATTTAAAAAAAAATAACTTTCTAGACTTATTATAGAGCACTGCATTCAGTACTCCCTAGAATTGTACCCTACCAAATTAAAATCTCATTACTGTCATTGATTTCAATTGTGTTTGTGTAGCTATTATCATCCAATAAACATGATCTTTGCCTAAAAATCCTTCGATATATTTCCCTCCGGATTTTATCTGTTACCTCGCATAAAATTCCCCAGGTACAAATCAAGTTAACCAAAGTTTTTTGATTTGTATCCTGGGTACTGAATGCAGTGCTCTACGGTACCCGATCTTGTCAATTTCAATGTTGAACGAAATTCTACTATATAAAAATATAGTAAAATTTTCAATCTACTATACTAGAAAATTTTAATAATAAACTCTACTTTGTCTTCTAAATAACTATGAAGCCCATTACTTATGCTAACCTGATCTGTTAAAAAAAAATGAATAACTTGTCTTTCTGAAAATAATCTAGGCAATAAAGCTAAAACTAAGACACTTTTTAACCTCATAATATATAAAAAAAAAGTAAAAAATAAAATAAAAAAGCCACTTGTAAATGCAACAGAGCTCGCAAAAAAAGTTTTATTAAAGCATAAAAGTTGAAATTTTAAAAAATTTTACAAGTTTCTTAATTACAATTTGAAAGTATGTATAAAAATCTTGTGTAATGTTACTATGTAAAATCGATCTGCGTGACATATTCCTTGACTGTTAGAGTTACTTAACTATTCGCCGAAGTATTCGTATAATATGTCATGCCTATATTTATGTACTATGGATAACACAAAACCACTTTCAAAAATTGAATAAGATCTTTAACCAAATCAATTGGCAAGCTACCTGGCTATATATTAATAACAATCAAAAAATTTCTAACTTCATGCACAGTTTTCAATCTTCTGCTCTTAAGTCTTTCAAAGTCAAAATATTATTAGACAAACTTTCTACACCACACAATTTATACAAACACAACCATATACACTCACCTATCTGTC